GGAACACACTCATTTTCACGAGAAAATACATCTTTCAATTTCAATTGCTTAAATTTTATACTAGAAAAACCATCATCAATGAAAGATATAGCTAAGTGATTTTAAACCCCATAGCCCCATTTCTAGTGGGTGGTTGAGGTGTAGATATTGACCCGGCCTGTAAGAGTGGGGGTTTCAGTAAACTGATATGGTGCATGATCCGTTATTTGATTGTGATAAGCATGTCTAAGAATAAAATTTTAAAAATCAACCATGAATTATGTGATAAACTTTATTCTATATGTGGTTGTATCTATATTGTTCAAATGCATGTTAAGTGTTACTCTAGATTCTATGCATGCCCTAATGTCTGTTATTCAGTGAATTCTGTGAAATAAAATCCTTTTATTGCGCTTCGTACGGGCCATACCAGGTTTAATTACCGTCCTTCCTTTTTTTTTTTTTTTTTTGGAATTACATGTCTTAAAATAAGCTCGCTCGTTTTAATAGCACTGTCCATGAATAACAAAATTATATTCCAATCACAAATACTTGATATTCATTTACGAGTTACTTTACTGGATGATGATAACAATGTTAAAATTTGTGAAGCAATTTCTACAATAATGTAATAGATACAGAATGAATATTTTGAGATAAAGCTTGTCATACTTACAATATACTTTAAGGATGGAAGGATTTGAACGTATATATTTTCCTTTTCGTGTCCGTATCTCACATACGAATCTCCTATTAGTATCATTCCTTACAGGCTTCGTAATAATCAGCTCAGCATTTCCAGGAGTTGTTCTTAAGCTGTAACGTCCATTGACAGTCTTAACATCATCTACAAGTGTATATCTTGCTTTATTTACTTCATTCCATATGATAAAACGAGGTTTAGTATCTTGTGAATAGTCACATGCTATCGCCACGTAATCATCACCTTCTTCGGCCACCTGATCAGATGTTATCACTAATTGGCTACGTGTCACTAAAAACATACATTCTGTTACAGTTTTTGTTGTAAATGATTATACATAAATTTAAGTTGCTAGTCAGAATCATAAATAAATTCAGCCTATTTATCATCGTCATTACCAACATCCTCATCATCATCGTCATTATCATCATCTGCATCATCATCATATTCATCATCATCATCGTCATCATCATTATCATCATCATCATCATCATCATTATCTTCTCTTCTTCATCGTCATCGGCATCATCATTATCATCATTATCATCTTCATCATCATCATCATCATCATCATCATCATCATCATCTTCTTCTTCTTCTTCTTCTGCTTCTTCTTCTTCTTCATCATCATCATTATCATCATGATCATTTGATTCCTTCTATCATCTGTTAATAGCTTTAATTATTGATTCTAAATTACATATCTGTTATTTACATCTGTTGTATACTTTGCAAGATACTAAAATTGCAGGGGCGGATCCACCAGGGGGAGAAGTTGGCTCT